AAAAAAGCTATAGGTATATTACTACTAATATAGATCATTATTATAGAGCTTATACGGCGGTCTGTGCTCTTTATGGAGCAACAACTCCACAATCCAGCTGTATGATGTTCAGCTGTGAGTTTAACAGGCTGTTGTCATTTTCTTTTTTTAACTATATCAGGCAGTTATGGCAGGAAATGAAAAAGGAATAACAATGAAAATGCTTATTTTGTTGATGTTTTTATGAATGGTCAGATGATCCTTTGCAGTGGGATGGAGCTTTATCTCCCCCTTTCATAAAGGACTGTCCTTGAAGAATTAGAATTAGTTACTGTGTGGATATTTTCAGGTTTTTTCTTGCATGGTTGAATTTGACCTTCCTTTCATGGATGGATCCTTAATAAAATAAATGATTAACTTCACAGTTTCCAAGTTACATGATCTTTTCTCACTTAAACCCACTGAGTTTGGTTTTGTCAACATTGTCTGTTGTATACAGATATTTCTATTTTTCATTCTTCTCATTACTAAAATTTGTATCAATAAATATTTTTCTTAAATTGTGAAATTATTTCTTTCTGAGTGATGAACCTGTTCTATCTTTACTTTTGAAAGATTCTACCTTCCTGGGATCCTCTTTTTACACCCAGTCATGAGTGCATTATTTATTTTTGGCTTAGCGTTACACAAATTTCATTCCCCTGTTGCTTGTACCTCAGTGTCTCCTGTGGTAGTTACCACATTATGAATGAAGACGTGAATCCTTGGAAGTGTTCCATCAGGAAGGACATGCGATGTAAATATTTACCAAATAAAAGATGAAAGAAGATGTTTTTACACCTCAGCTGTAAAACACTGATGTTTATGGGTATTGTCGTGACCCTGTTGGGCAGATGAGCGAGCGACGTGGTTATCCAAGTTTGTCAATGCAATAACTTGAGAATCAGGTGCCGTCTGAGTCTAAATTGATAACATCAGTGTATCTACTAAAAATCTCAAATGAATTTGAATTTGAGTGACCTTGACCTCAAGGACAAGGTCAGAGGTCAAGGTTTCTGAAAATCTTGTGAGTGCGATAACTTGAGTATGAGGTGACATAAGATTTTAAAAGTATACCACAGGTGAATCTACTCGGAGGCTGAGGGGTACTGCTGGCTGCTGCCAGTATTGACTTTGTACTATTTTAAATTGAATATAGGCTTCAAATGATTTATTGCACAGCATAACAAGTTATAGCCTGTACTGGAGTTTTGGCTTATCTTTCTCATCAAGTGAAATTTCTAAATTGTTAATGACAACTGAGAAATTCAGTGAGTGATGAAGCAAATAATGTTCACAGAAGATATAAGAACAAAATTGCATATTATTAGAAAAGTACAAAATGAGCTTTCTGTTGTCTCAAAGTAAATTCTTATTTTTCAGGACATTGGATACAAAGGAGAGCTAGGATACCAGACCTTTCTGTACAGCAGTGAACCGGAGATCCGCTCCCTGCTCATGTTTCTGGTGGAGAAGCTGCCCAGAGAAAGTGCTGAGACTTCAGACCAGCCGACAGGTACACTGACACAGTTTATCTCTGGCATACACATAGTTTCATATAATATTGGAGATAAAGACATGTTCCTATATTGTCTAGTAATTGTAATTATTATTACATATTATTGTAATTGTAATAATTGTAATACTTTAGCCTCTAATGTTAGATTTAATTAGAGTATTATGAGATACAGCTACAGGTAAATTCAAAGGTCTTATTTTGTGAATTTGTTTTCTGTCAGTGCAAATCTTTTTGAGACACTCGAGTAGAAAATGTCTCTGACATTCAACAGACATTAAAACAACCCACTGACCCAGGCAACCTGATGGACAGACAAAGGCTGTTGTTGTGTTAACTGCCTGAAAAGCATGAGGCCCTGATCAAATAGCTAAAAAGAGAACTGATAGAATAAGGTCTTGGCACTACAGGCTATATGAACAGGGGCAAGGCCATAAAAGGCTTTATATCTTATTAATAACATTTTCAAATTAATTCTACATTTCGCTGGAAGCCACAACAGAAGTGATTTGCCAATTCAGCCAAGTTGTTGAATGTTGTCATCCTGCCCGGCAGGCAGACAGGTGGCTGACATAAACAACCCAGTTTGTGATAACTTGAGATTGAAGCGATGTAGGAGTTTCAAATTGATGCCGTAGTTTTGTCTACTAATAGCTAGAACATACAACTTTGACAAGTATGAAGCTCAGTGACCTCCACCTCAAGGTCAGGGGTCAGAGGTCACGTTTTATGAAAATCTTGTGGATGCGATAACTCGAGAACTAAGTAACGTAGGAGTTTGAAATTGATACCATAGGTGCATCTTCTAGAAGGCTGAGAGGTACTGCTGGCTGCCACCAGTATTTTTCTTGCTGTTATATCTATAAACCACGTTTGTAGTGGCGATCCTGTGAGGACTAGGGATGGAAATTGAGAACTGTTTCTCTACAAAAACAGATTCCCAGTAGTCCAATTCCTTGTAATTGTTAATATGCCTGCATATCAATCCCACTTATTGGTTCTTACAGTCAGCTGATTTCAGTCTGTGTGTCAGAGGAGAAAAATAGTGGCAACACAACTTCAGCTTTTGATGAGCAGTCAGATTGCAGCCTCTGTTTCTACCTGTTCGTGTTTCTACAGTAGAATCATCTACTTTGAAGTGTCTTTGTGCTGGTTTTACATCTTTGATTTGTTAATTGATAAGTTATTGATAAGTGATATCGATAATGGAATCAGAATCGCCAAATTCTTATCAATTCCCACCCGTAATAAAGAACAAATATGTGTGAAAAAAGCCAAACAAACAAAAAATGGTTGTTCTTGAGATCAAACATATCTTGGGTTTTTTTTTTTTTTAAATCATTTACATATATATGTATATACAGGTGCAGATAGGACCGCCTTACTGGAGGGTAAGTGGTATGACGCCCGATCCATGGGGAAGTTTTGGGTTCAGGAGAGATGAGCAAAGGTAGATAGCGCCCGGTGACAGGAAATAGCTAAATAGCTAACAGTCTGTGGAATGCTAAGCTAGCTAGCCTAAGAAGGCTGAGATATGCCCCAAAGCGAGAAGAGGTCTTTGAATAACGGCTATGCAGAAAGACCAAGTTATTTAGGGTTGGTTGCTCTGCCCTGTCGCCAAGTTTCTAAGTAAATATATTTCTGAAGGTGACTTTGACATGAAATTCTCACCAGATGTTGGTAACAACCCATCCAATCACCACATGCAAGGAAATCAAACCTTAGATGTCCAACAATTAAGTTCTGTAACAATGAGAAATAACACAGGGACTGAATTTACTGAAACTTATTAAATACATCATAAAGTAGCATTTGTTGTTGCTGATAGCTTCAAGATGCCTCCTGATTGGAGAGGCTAGGTGCAGCATTGCTCAGGTGTGATTTTGGCCCAGTCGTCTATGAACTCTGAGCTTTAGTTCTTTCTTTAGATTTTCAGTAGATTCAGATGAGATGATTGTCTGGGCCATTCTATTAGCCGAGTTTTCCTCGGCTGTGTTTGGGATCATTATCTTACTGAAACGTTCACCTCGTTTCATTTCCATCATCCTGGTAGATGGCAGCAGATTTTTATCAAGAACGTCTTGGTACATTTTTCCATTCATCATTCCTTTAGTTATGTGAAACGTGCCAATCCTGTAGCTGAAAAACAGCCCGACATCATGATGGTCCCACCTCCAAATATCACTGTTAGTATGGCATTTTGGGGTCATATGCAGTGTCGTTTGACCTCCAGACTTTATGGTATATTATGACATCCAAAGAGTTCTATTTTGGTCCCATCATCAGGGAATATGCTCCCAGTATTTCACAGGCTTGTTTAAATGTCTAAACTTTGAATGTGCTTCAACATGCTCTTTCTTCAGCAGTGGAGTATTGCATGATGGAGCATGCAATGCAGGTCATGGCGGTGGAGTGCATCACCTGTTGTCGTCTTTGAAACTTTGTTTTTCTGTCCAGTGGTTCTTGTTTTAGCTCCTCTGTCTGAAATCTTAGTGGGGGTTGCCTGAGCCTCTGTGATTATTACTAGCATTATTACGTTGTGGTGGGATTGCTGTCATTCCTAATCGCTTCCACTTTATTGAAATACCACAAACAGTTTACTGTGGAATATTTATTTGTGCAGGCAGCATCCTGGAATTCAATGATTCATTTGTGAAATGCTACATTTTGAATATTGGATCAATTTGAAATTGATGGCAGTAGCATGTATGAAAAGCTAGGACGGGGCCATGTTTACCCCTGTGTAGCATGCTCTCCTCTTTTAACAACAATTGGTTAATATAGACACAGGGACATATCTGGTTTAATAGGCGTTTGCAGATCTATGTGATGGGACAATAACGTATTCATTAAAGGTTCAGAAAGGTCACAAATGACCTTGTGCTTAGTGAATACCTCAGGCAGCAGACACCAGAGAGAGAAGAGGAGCCATGATGGAAGGACAGGTCCCTGCACGACAAGCGGCAGGTAGAAGAAGTGGCTGACATCCAGAAATCCTGCTAGTGGCTGGACAAAGCTGGAACATTTGTTCCTGTATACTGTTACATTTTTTTATATTACACCTCTAACTAACCATCCTCTCTGAGATTGATTTAAGTTGTTATTGGAGATATCAAATGCTTCCTGACTGCTGATATTTTTCGGTGGATTTATAGTGTGCTTACAATCTCCTTGCAAGCTCATAATAATCCTCAGAATAACCTCATGTCCAGTTCACACGAAAAAAACAATGTCAGCGTCTTTTCAACAGCTTGTATCACTTAACATTCAACAGCTTGTATCACTTAACAAGGCAGTCATGTCATTTCAGAGAATCAGGACCTTGTTTGTCTTTGATAATATAATATTCTGAAGAATGATTCGGGCCTTGACACAGGCTTTATTTGGACACGCCCCCTTTATGCAGGACAAGCCTCAGCCTTCAGTGTCAAAGATAATATCTCTACTTGGTTTAACACACACAAAATTAAAGCAGGACCAGGAGCAGGACAGATAACCAGCAACAACGCTTGCAGGTGGATCTGTGGCCTGTATAATGTCTGACGGCTAATTGTTGAGTGAGCCAAGGTGCCAACTGTGGGTAACTGGTGGCAGCTGAGTCCTGGAGTGAGAGTGGAAGTTTGTCCAGTTAGTTGAACTCCAGATTTAGAAGGAACATTCTGGTCCTGGAGTGCTAGACCAGCTCTTTATCCTCTTGACAATATTCGAGGATGTGTTTTGGAGTTTATCTAACCAGTCTACCTGTTTTGTGAACCTGGGACCAAATCCCCCTCAGATACCCTCTGAGGGGTATTTGGCATGTTGTTACAGACCATTTGGTCCTGGTACAGAGCTTGGTCTGCACTGTCAGCCATAAGTTGGAGTTGTTCTCAGTGGGTGTTGCACTCTGCCAGGGATTTAGACGTAGCCAAGTGGGAGAAGACTTCCACTCAGAGTCTCTGCTTTTTGCAGATAATGTGGAAGTGTTGGCTTCATCAGGTGGTCCCCTCCAGCTCGTACCGGAGTTGTCCGTAGTCGAGTGGGAAGTGGCAGTAATGAGAACTAGAAAAATGTGCATTTCCTGCGAAAATGCTGTGTGGATGCCTTCACGCTGAAGATGTCTGCTGAAAAAAGCTGAAAAAGTTGAAAAAAAGATTGCCTGGAGCAGGATTTGAACCTGGCCCTTCTGGTCTCAAGGCAGCTACTCATCTCACTGAGCCAAACTCATTCGCAAAAAGAAGAGGTGGAGAGACTGACAATTCTGCTGAAATGAGCAGAAGCTGCTGAGAATTGTGCTGATAAGAGGTGAAAAGGCTGAAAATTTTTCAGAAGAGGTGAATAAGCAGAATTTGCGCAGAAAAGAGGTGAAAATTCTGAAAAATCTGCTGAAAAGAGTTCAATCAGCAGAATTTCTGCTGAAAAGAGGTGAATGAGCAGAATTCTGCTGAAAAGAGCAGAAGCTGCTGAGAATTATGCTGATAAGAGGTAAAATGTTTAAAGATTTGGCAGAAAAGAGGTAAATCAGCAGAATTTCATCTCATACTCATCTCACTGAGCCAAATTGGTTCTCATATAACTGAAAAAAGGTGAAAAAGCTGAAAATTCTTATTAAAAACAGCAGAAGAGGCTGAGAAAACACTGACCTTTCTGGTGAAAAGAGGCACAACAACCTGGTTCTGCTCAATTTCAGTCCACCAATCAGAGGTAGTGCTTCTGTCTGCTTCATCAGGCTGTGTACTTGTATGTATTTCTGCCATGGACTGTTAACAAGAATCTGAGGTCCATATTAGAAAAGCTGCTAAAATCATAAAACTTTGCAGAATTGTAATAAATGATCAATATGAATTACTGGTCTGTGATAGTGTATCAATTTGTAGTGAAAAAAACATGTGGACAAGGTGGAATTGAACCCACGACCTTTGGGCTTCAGACCCGTGTCATTACCAACTGCGCCACTGGGAAAGAGAGCGGGTGCTTGGAAAACAGGGTGATGAGCAGTCAGAATTAGATCGCGGTAAGAGGCAAAAAAACGCCATTTTTTGGAGTTACAAAACGTAGTGTAACTCAAAAACTAGGTGGGATAGAAGCAAAATTCTTGTACTGGGTTAATCAGCGGACTTTGGTGAACTTTGACTGCGATTTTCATAGCTCTTTGTGACTCCATCGCGGAGATATGACGAGAGAAGAAATGGCTTCATTTTCGGAGTTTGAAAACTGAGAGGAGGACAGATTTCCTACCCTCAAACAAGTCTAACTCATCTCAGAACGGTAATAGGTGAGAAAATAATTCTTGAATTGTGAGCATCAGGAGTGTCTGAAGATATACGAGGACAAGCCTCATGTCTTAACTTCGCTTTGTTAAGGAGATATGACGATTTGAAAATGCCTTCAGTTTCAGTATTTCAGCTCTGAGTTTCACAACCTCCCCATTGACTTTCTATGGACAGTTTTTAGACCTTGTGTCACTTCGAGGCAAATTGTGAAAAAACCGTAACTCGCACAATAATTATAGTGACACTGTCTTAAAGCCAGCAAAAATACCTACGTTTTGATGTATAATTTGTGGAAGTTGAGTGGAAATTGAGCGAGTAGCAAGAAGTTGTTAGGACATGAAGAGAAACTTCAGAAAGCACCAGCTCTCACTCTGAGTTAATTGCATAGCAACCATAACAACGCATATATTTTCTGAAAAATCACAAAGCTGCAACTGAAAACTTAAAGAGGCATTAAATGAAAACGGTAACAGATATGAAAAAGCTGAATCACACACAAAAAGCCCAATCATTTGAGAACGTTTTAAAGTTTGAATGGAGTTTCTAGGTGAAAGTATGAGGAAGTAGTTAAGTTTGAAAAACAAGCAAGTTTTAGCAGAATTGTGGAAGTTTTCCATTCATTTCAATGGGACAAAAAAAAGGAAAAAAGTGTAATATTTTAAAAAGTATAA